AGGGAGGGAGGGGATGGAGAGAGGAGAGGATGAAGAGAGGGAGGAGATGGACAGAGGGAAGGAGAGAGAGACGACACACACACACATATCTATGTGCCATCAGTACATGTCGACACTGCACTGGAGCATGCACCACTCAAGTGACGACAACGTCAACGGTTCCAATAAACCAACTACTCATTTACATCAGTAATACAGCACGTACCAATTATCAATTCAGTTCAGATAAACCCCGGTGTCACTAGCATATTCATCATGACGGCCTATGCCTCGCTACTGACCCCTACAGTGTCAGCATCCTGTCACCACCACCAGATGCAGCCACTAGTCCCCCGCTGTTCGTCACCAGAGGGCACTGTTGCTTCCTCATTACAACCCCAGTTTTATTGTTGATTGACTTCCCTGAATGAGGATGCACGAGTCCATATTTGTTTTATTTTTAAATGATAACGCGGTTTTACATATCCTGCATTTGCATATTGTAGGATGGATCCATCATGCATTTGAGTGAGCTTAGTTTTACGCCGCTTTTAGCAATGTTCCAGCAATATCACGGCGGGGGGACATCAGAAATGGGCTTCACACATTGTAACCCTTGTCGGGAATCGAACCCGCGAACACTGTAACCATTAGGCTAGTTAGATCAAATGTTTCAAAGTGCACAAACCGGATAATTACTTGAAACAACCACATAGCATGCTTTGAAAACAACTCTACCGGACTAATATGACTATGCTCGAAATGATAAATGTATAGCGTCAACGTCAGAGAATACACAATCCTCACCGTAACATACACGCATTCAATCCATTGGGTGCGACCCGTGAAGATCCGGGGTAGAATAGGTCTTCAGCAACCACAAAAGGCGACTATGCTTGTCGTAAGAGGCGACTAACGGGATCGGGTGGTCAGGCTCGCTGACTTGGTTGACACATGTCATCGGTTCCAATTGCGCAGATCGATGCTCATGCTGTTGATAACTGGATTGTCTGGTCCAGACTCGATTATTTACAGACCGCTGCCATATAGCTGGAATATTGCTGAGTGTGGCGTAAAACTAAACTCACTCACTCCATTGGGTGCAAAAGCCAAGCATTATCTGTCAGTGGCCACAGTAGGTTCGCCAAAGGGTAAGCACGTCCTCTCTACGGGTAGCACCCGCAACTCACACAATTTGCATGCAAAATTATGTGTTTGATTTTAACATATCACTCGCCTGTTTTGCGGCTCGTTAAATAAGGTCATTACTGTGATACATACGAATTCAGCATTGCGTTGTTCATTGCATATGCAATATATATGTATATATGTATACCAATCCATGAGAGTAACTTGATACTTTTGATATTGCCAGAAAAATCATAACAGATGAAAAGATTTGGGGAAAGTCTGCCTTTACAAATCTTTCACGACAGAACTGGTAAGTAGCAGAGCCATATATAGACACCACCTCACCAGGGGGCGCTATGCTGCACGCGCTGTTCCGCACGCGCCGTATCTTTAATATTTGTGAAAACAATTTGCGTGTCAGCAGGAGATATTAAGCAATGAAAGCTGTGCCTCGATTCTTATATGAATAATATATATGTGCATACACTCACTCACACATTGATTACACAATGCCATTTAGAAAGTGGTCAAATGTAACGTATAAAGATATTTGGGATTACACTTTCTAGTAAAATACAGATTCTAGTACTTTTGTTGGGTTGAGTCCCATCCGGGATTCGAACCAACACCCTCAGCGTCAGGCACCCACCTAATCGCCAGCACACAAAGTCAGCCGCCTAACCTGCTCAGCCACCGCGACTTCCACTCTGAGGGTGTGGTTCAACCCAACAAAAGTACTAGAATCTGTACTTTACTAAGAAAGTGTAATCCCAAATATATCATAATGTTACACTGACACATTGTTCAAATCGTGTCTAGAATATGCATAGTCATGATTTAGATTGCTTATCATAACTAACAATTACAAACATGGAGACGTTTTGTAATGGAGTAGAAATACTTCACTGCAAATATGTACGGAAAGAGCAGTGTTTGGGGCTGAAATGTACAAACATCCACTTTTGACCAGCAGTGGCCAGTGGTTTCAGTGGCCTTGGGGAGGTGAGCGCTTACTGGAAACAGACCAAAGCATGTTTAGCTACGAAGTGTAAAGCCTATAGCGGTTACCTCCCTGTTAATGACAACATAAACGTACATGCTACTATGCTTCTTTAGGCTGAGGATGGATTATGGGTGAGGTGAATGACTGAGTTTGTAGATATGCGTTCCTTCTGACCTAGCTTGACCTCTTTATCTAAAAGTGTGCGGCCAACTGGGTCACATGTGTTCACAATGACATAGTTCGATCATACCTGACCTGATTAGCTGAGCGAAGGTAATATATATATGTATACCAATCCATGAGAGTAACTTGATACTTTTGATATTGCCAGAAAAATCATAACAGATGAAAAGATTTGGGGAAAGTCTGCCTTTACAAATCTTTCACGACAGAACTGGTAAGTAGCAGAGCCATATATAGACACCACCTCACCAGGGGGCGCTATGCTGCACGCGCTGTTCCGCACGCGCCGTATCTTTAATATTTGTGAAAACAATTTGCGTGTCAGCAGGAGATATTAAGCAATGAAAGCTGTGCCTCGATTCTTATATGAATAATATATATGTGCATACACTCACTCACACATTGATTACACAATGCCATTTAGAAAGTGGTCAAATGTAACGTATGTTATATTTGGGATTACACTTTCTTAGTAAAGTACAGATTCTAGTACTTTTGTTGGGTTGAGTCCCATCCGGGATTCGAACCAACACCCTCAGCGTCAGGCACCCACCTAATCGCCAGCACACAAAGTCAGCCGCCTAACCTGCTCAGCCACCGCGACTTCCACTCTGAGGGTGTGGTTCAACCCAACAAAAGTACTAGAATCTGTACTTTACTAAGAAAGTGTAATCCCAAATATATCATAATGTTACACTGACACATTGTTCAAATCGTGTCTAGAATATGCATAGTCATGATTTAGATTGCTTATCATAACTAACAATTACAAACATGGAGACGTTTTGTAATGGAGTAGAAATACTTCACTGCAAATATGTACGGAAAGAGCAGTGTTTGGGGCTGAAATGTACAAACATCCACTTTTGACCAGCAGTGGCCAGTGGTTTCAGTGGCCTTGGGGAGGTGAGCGCTTACTGGAAACAGACCAAAGCATGTTTAGCTACGAAGTGTAAAGCCTATAGCGGTTACCTCCCTGTTAATGACAACATAAACGTACATGCTACTATGCTTCTTTAGGCTGAGGATGGATTATGGGTGAGGTGAATGACTGAGTTTGTAGATATGCGTTCCTTCTGACCTAGCTTGACCTCTTTATCTAAAAGTGTGCGGCCAACTGGGTCACATGTGTTCACAATGACATAGTTCGATCATACCTGACCTGATTAGCTGAGCGAAGGTAATAGCATATACTGCGTTGTATATATATGTATAAGATATCTCATAAACGACAATAACGGTTTTCATAAGATTAATACGCTCGCATATATTTTCTAATCTACCGAAGCCGCATTCGATTGCTTTGGGCATGAAACACCGTGCTCGGATTGTAAGAGGTTATAAAAGAAACACCCCACAATAAATATATAAATTTAAAAATAAACAACATGAATTTAAAAATAAATAAATAAATTTAAAAATAAATAAATAAATAAATAAATAAATAAATAAATAAATAAATCATTTGACCTGTACCTTGTCAAGATGGTTTGCACGAATTCTGGCCTGACCAGATATCAGACGTGACTCTCTAACGGATGAGTGTCACGAAATATAACTTGAACAGGGCGTGCCTGGAGCGGAGATGCTGGATGCAGTTTAGTCATGTCCGAGGAAAGACCTGACAGACTTGATTACGAGTATATGGTGTGGATACTGTGCCTGGACATCCCTGAACTGTGAGCTCTGTGCACCCACATTTTGGTTTAATCTGTAGCCATATATACTGTAAAGACTTCATTATATCATCGAAATTATCCGCTTGATAGATACATTTTATCTATTTGATAAACACAGGTATAATATCTTTATATGCTATTTGTCATTTAAGTATCTCCTTCCAATGCATCCGTTACATATTATTAATAAATTATAATCCTATCTGTCTATTACAGACGATGTAATGTCTAACGATGCCTGTGTTTCTCATTCTTGCGTCAGTCATTCCTGCAGCATATCACGAGAAACTGTCACGTGATGCAATGACCCTGGTTTACTGATGGATCAGAAAAGTAACAACGCAGTTCTTTTAATTGTTGCAAAAGAAATATTAACGAAAAAAAATATTCCGATTATTTATTCACCTTAATTACAGAGCTTGCAGGTAAATATGTATCTCTGACGTTGGTACCGTGAGCCCTGTCTGCGTTGTTCACAAAGTATCTGCTACTGTCTGCAGCAGGCGAATTTCAGATGTAACTGTCGGACAGAACTTCGCATTTAATGCACGCAGGAAACAAAACTTGCATTCGTCAATCGATACCACGAGATTTCAGCGGTTGTATCGTGTTAATCTTAGCTTGCTAGCATATTATAGGTCAGCCTTTGATATAGATTTGTTACCCAAATAAAAATTGATATGGTAATCAAAAAGTACATTATCGATGCAATTGTAGATTTCATATAGATTAATGCGTCGTACATTGCTTGCAATATTAAGTTGTATGTTTTGCTTTGCACTGTAGACAATGCATATTTTTTTGAAAATAAAATTATGTTAATTTGACCTTTTGTGGTTAAAGTACTGAGTGAATGTTGAAAGGTGTGAACTGTGACAGGGACACCATCTGTCGTGGTTGTTGCTATCTCTAGAAAACTTCGCTCGTTACAAACAAAGACGAAACACGCTAGCATGCCTTAGTGTTCAGCGACAAACGAGTCAGCCAATCGGAGAGCTCGTTACATCGCGCCTCGCCCCCAGGTAGACTGGGACCGACTGTAGCGCATAGGCTATTGCAAGTCAGCTGTGAGCTTGTCGAGACGTGGACCGTTCGTACCAGAACTTTTCTCTTTGTTTCACCTGCAGCAAGCTAGACGATGACTTTGCCGGAATTAATGAAAGATTCGTCACTGCAAGCAAAACCGTAAGTGCAAATATATTTCTTGGCTTCAGGATTGATCGGCTGTAGCTGGTAGACAGTGCAACTCCGAGCAGCAGACGTAGAACGGGACAAAGAAGCACGCATTATGTCCCGTGCAAATTTCACATGCAAACTTTAAACCACTCTCTAAATGCAAATATGTAATGTATGAAGTTATGAAGACATTCTGCAACGTTGATAGGGGTTTTGTCGAGAAAATTTCATTCATGATGCCAATGCACACAGCATTCGGCTTATGCAACACCGGTTACAGTGTGTTGCGCCTTGTTACGTTGTTAGGAAGGTGGGGCTGGATACGGCTAGTCAGTTGCAGACGAATAGTCCCTGCTTATAATCTTACTTCTGCATCTCACGTCTGGCAAACTAATGACCCTCGGGTCATGGAGGGCAGGTTAATTACGCAATTAGTTTTATTTACAGGGCAGAACAGCTTGCTACTTGCAGCCTTAAATCTGCATCAATATTGCGCTATTTCTGCTGTAGCCTTGCTGAAACAGTGCCTCGGGTTACGTAGGTAATTAATGATTTATGGCTCTCCCTGATCAGCTGGCTTTATTCGTTTATTGGGGTTTGGTTATTCTAAAGAAAGGCGTTTGTGCATGAAGTTATTGTGCTGGCGTTCTTGTTTTATTACGATTTAAAATCTGACGCAAGTTCTCAGATTTAGTCTCGAGGCAAATCACATGATACGGTGTTTCGTCAGCTCATAGTGTGTGATCGTGTGCAAGTCACGCAGCAGGATGAAAGGTCACAGGTCACGCTTCTGTCGCGATCACCTGTTGAATGTAGTCGTATTGATACGGAAGGGAATCGGTCATCTCCAAATATACCACATTGTCATTTTAACTATGCACAGAAACCAGTCAGCCTGTAACGCTAGGAGGAATCTCTCGCAGTGGGGTTTGCAACGTGACGTCATATCGCCAATGGAAACGGGGATATCCCTTAGCGCTGAGTAAACAGCACGATAACACTTGATGAATCCAACGAGCTATTGTGCCTGCATTTGCCGTTAATCTCCACCTGAGCCCAAACAGAGTTTAATACCCAAACAGAGATTAATCTCCAAACACTTAACAGGATTGTGAGGAAAACTTTGCAATGGTGATGTGGTAAGGATTTATTATGTTGAAATAGTGGTATGATTCACGACAACGAATCCTTGTTAAGTGATGAATCATGACTGAATTTATACATATCGGCACATAGCCACAGCAACTGTATCCGTCAATGGCAATGCTTATTTATCCGCAGGAAAAAGATGAACGTTGGCGCCGCTTTAAGGGAGAGTATCTGGCAGGCAATGGAAGGCAACCGATTGACTTCCGGCCTTTTCGAATGTGCCAAACTTTTGAAATGGTAAGTATAAATATCTTGCATGTATATATCAGTGTAGACTAACATCTAGTCTCTGAAATGAAGATATTTTATAGAAAAAAAGGGATAATAAATAATAATCATAAAATATAATGAAAAGGAGCCCTGAGACTTTCTTCAACTATGGAAATCTATATTCCAAATCAAATATATAATATATTTGTTTCAGGGTCCGTATGGCAGGCTTATATCGGGTAGCGTTGTACAAAGCGATCTTAGCGCACGCTGATCGTAACTCCCATTCCTTAACATTGACCTAAGGTGGCCTCAGCGCTAAGGTTGTTTTGTACAACTGCACCCAGATATTGCAATGCCCCAGTGTTTATGTTAAAAGCCGGATGTTTTACACCCGTGCATATCCTGGATGTGCCTTACAGGAAAAGTTTAATGCAATGCATTATTAATGACTTAATCGATTTCAAAGTTTCTTGATTCTTTCATATGGTCTAAAATTATGATGTTTGTGTTTTTGTCGGCTTGTTTTCTACGTATTGGTCTGACATTGTGTAAATCATTGTGATTTTGAGGTTTTCGTCGGCCAGTCTTTTATCTATAAAGCACGGAGCGTGGATCTATAAAGCACGGCTATAAACCTTATGCATTTGACTCGGCAATAAGAAAGATATTCAACTGTTTTTTCAGTAACCCTGACAACGTGATGCTGTGTGTCCTACCAGAAGTAAGTGGGCAGCATGACGTCACTGTAGACATTCAGCACACACTCATCGAAGCTTTCTGTTGGGAGAATGAGATCAAACTGTTAAAGGTATGAAAACAAGCGGATTTGAAATCTTAACTACAATACCATCTTTTCAGTCAAGCTCATCCTCGTTTTCGGGCTTCTTGTTACTGTTTAACTGTGCATATTGATATATTCTAACTCAGTATTGTGGAATGCGAAAGAACAGAAATCGGTGGTTTTGTTAAACTAATAATGCAATGATGACTAGTTGGGAATTGGTGGGACCTCTTTAAGTCTTTTGTCTTCCTTGTCAATGCTTATACAGGATAATTAATTAAATGTCTAGCTTTAAAACATATACATTGGTAAAAAAGGAGACAACCATTTGACACAGTTATGAGGGTATGCGATCTAGATGTGCCAGATAAGGTTCGTGCCCATAAATCTGAAACCATGTGTTGACAAGAAGAGTCTTCTTCCCCAGGTCGAGAAGCAGAGCTCCCTTGGACATGTCCTTGAAGGAAGGGGAGATAAGAAGGAGACTGACACCGGAAACATTGCCACCTCCATCGTTAACAACAACACCGGGGTAGATTCAAGCTGCGTCCTCTTAGAGGTGCGTTGGTGATTTGCGTTGGCAAATTTGCGTCATGGCAACTCCCTTCGAGTCGCAAGTCAACTTTTTAGATAAGAGATGTGGCTGAAGTTTATAAGGTTTCAGAAAACCTACTCTGAGATAGACAATGAGTCTGATTTGCATGAGACTGGCAAACTTGTATCGGTCATTAACATGTCATTGCTGAAAAATCCAGCCATTATGATCACTTAGTTCCCGTAGCCCAAAAAGAGACATGGTTTCTGAACTCAATCTTTACGTTTAGGAGATAAAATATTCATGATTTGCTTTACGCACGTAATAAGAAGGCACATGTGATAGTTAACATCCAAGGTCGACTGTAGGTCATGTTGGTAAGGTAACATTTAGGCCGAGGGGAGAACATTGACAAATATAAAACTGCAATCATTTATCACCACCACATTCTACGCTAGTAACAACATGTGACAGGTGTCGTTAAATTGTGTATTTCTTATTACAGTATCCGAAGAATGGTCTCAGTTCAAATGATGAGGACGTGATAGAGTTCCACAACAGTGTCATGCTAAGCGACACCTATCCTAAACCTGTTATAGAATTCCCGGAATGATATGAGCTCCGTACAGCGATATCCAAATGGTAAGTCTAATTAGTCAACTAGTAAAATATGATTCTGAAAAAATATAGGCTCGAGCATATTACACTCTCTTAATGGTCCGTGGGTTTCCTCGCGTATCTATTGATTGTCATTAGAATCTAATGAATTTCAGGAATCGTAAGCAGTTCTTTTGCAACTTGACCTACATATACATGTCAAAGCGTACTATGTTAAGCTGCCCAGGTGTCTTTGAAGAAAACGACGTGATTGGCTTCAGCTACGTGAAAACCGTTAAACCAAACACTGCTTGAATTGAGACTTGTTTCTGTTGTGAACTTGAAAAGAATCTTGTGTACACTTGTTCACTGGGGCAGTTGGTTTTGTAAGTCGCCAGCATTGACTTTCCTTAGGATTGGAAATTCTCTTTATTTGCAAACACTGCGCAAACAGATCTGCAGTCGTATTGTTGACAGGGGACTGTGTTTGTGGAATCTGTATAAACGATGTCTCTTCAAACTTTTTTCAGGACCCAGATCGTTGGCATGAAGCCACATTGAAACCATCATCTCACAGAAATCAGCTACCAGCGATTTCCAGAGCAGACGACAGTTGCATGATGGGAAGGAAGGATCCATCGCGCACGCGATGGAGACGAAGAAACAGACGACATTCCGGTCAAGGTCACACAGAATACCGGTGGCATGGCGCTGTCCTGTTGGTGCGGATTCACTCTCTAATCGGATTTGTGGACAATTAGATATGATTGCAGACAGGCTCTCACTCATCTAATATATAAATAACATCACCTTTCATCGATACAAGGTTCACTATGTAACGAGCATGCTTACTTTAATGAAGGCAGTTCCCCCACATGCGTGTGGCAAGTGGAAATGATTGATCTTAACGTTTTTTCGTGTTGAGAATATAATAAACATTTTGAAAAATAATCTGTTATGTCATTTTGATGTGTATTCGTCGAAGGGGAGGTGGGGTAGCCTCGTGATTAAAGCGTTCGCTCGTCTCGCCAAAGACCCGGGTTCGATTCCCCACATGGGTACAATGTGTTAAGCCCTTTTCCCTAGTCGTGATTTTGCTGGAATATTGCTAAACGCGGCGTAAAAATAAACTCACTCACTTCGTCGAATGAATACATGCATTAATAGTTTGTTGTTCAACGCCTCACTCAGCAATATTCCAGCTGTATGGCGGCGGTCTGTAAATATCCGAGTTAGGGCAGACAATCCAGGCAAAGACATCTTGAGCATCGATCTACACAAATGGGGTATGGTGACATGTTTCAACCAAGTCACCGAGCCTGACCTCCCGATCCCGTTAGTCGCCTCTTACGACAAGCATGGGTTTGTGGAGACCAATTCTAACTCGGATCTTCACGGGTGATCGGCTTTATTGATAAGGAAGGGCACCATAGGGTGTTATCGACTTGATAAGTCGACGAAGGGTGTGACAGCTGTCAAGATCTTCAGGCTGTAGGTTCGAAACCCAGAGTCTCCGTGACCAAACTTCATGATGTTCAAATGTGATCACATAACGGTAATGGTCCATGCTTTGAGGCACGGACAGAAGGGACGAGGATGAGCGTTCACATCGTAAATGTCTCGATACTGACCCAAACATTTTTTACGGTGATGCACAGTGATGTTGGAAATGGAATACACACATGAATTCCCTTTCCTCACTGCCACCTCCCTCCCCAAAATCCGCTCCTTCATACAGAATGAAGGTGTCCTTTCGGTCCATCGAATGCTTGCCTGTTTAGTTTAGTTTTACGCCGCACTCAGCAATATTCCAGCTATATAGTGACGGTCTGTAAATAATCGAGCCTGGACCAGACAATTATGTGATCAACAGCATGAGCATCGGTATACACATGGTTGGAAATATAAACCGGAGGAGTGATGTAAGTGTCACGAAGCTGTGCTTCTGGGACCAGTGTGTCATTAAACAAGAATAAAACAATATTTCCAAACGTGGTAACAGTTCACACTATTATTACTATCAACTACATTGTCATTTTATCAATAGACGACGAAAAATGTTCCAAAACCCAAATTAGGCTGACAAATTTCATATGTAATGGTTAAAAGAGTAACAAAAAACAAAGTTTAGTGGTTCTTTAATTAAATCAGAGAACAGACACAAGCTGATTTTGTTTATTTCTTATTTAACGCCGCACTCAGCAACATTCAAGCTGTAAATAATCGAGTCTGGACCAGACTATCCAGTAATCAACATCATGAACATCGATCTATGCAATTGGGATATGATGACATGTGTCAACGAAGTCAGTGAGCCTGACCACCCGATCCCGTTAGTCGCCTCTTCCGACAAGCATTGGTTGCTGAAGACCAATTCTAACTCGGATCTTCACGGATGCCTGTTTAGTACCGAGAACTAATTATATGCGATGTGAGTATGTTATGCAAGGCTGACTGTTCGGGATTAGTGAGTAAGTATAGTTTTACGCCGCTTTTAGCAATATTCCAGCAATATCACGGCGGGTTGTTCGGGATTAAGTCATCTGGGTATGGTAGAGTCCAAAAATGTGAAGCCGACATGCTTACCATGCAGGAAACAAGTACAAAGTCAACCATTCCGAATTATAGCTGTAAATGGCGTAGAATTTGGAATAACATCGCCCACTCTTTCACCCATTGATTCCGTCCGACGCTCATCACTGTGGCAACATTGAACCCTGCAACATGTGTATACCTGTAAGTGTAACGTTCTCATTAAAAGCCCATGAAATATTATGTCTGTTAGCTTTATATCGAACTGGGCGTCAGCATGCCACGTTCATCGTCAAACCAGTCTCACACCAGTTACACGATGTCCACTTATGCAAGAAATGACAGCCGCTGACCCGTAATTGCTTTCTGGACGTCCACAGGTAGGTCAAGGACGTCCGGAACGGACTGGCTCAAGTCCCTAGCGACCCTGGTCAGTGGTGGGACACAGCCGGCCGGACATCTGGCCTTGATTTTACAATGTTAGCAGGGCGAACACCGGTCACCGTTATGGCTTCCAGTGAACCGAGAAGACGCCATGTAGAACATTTAAATTACGCAACGTAAGATTTGGACGTGGTGGCCGACTTGAATTGTACAAGCTTGTGATTAATTTCCCCCAAAATGATGAGAGGTTGAGCTAATTACATCATGAGTGAGGGTATGGTTATGCCATTGGTAGCTGTATTGTAGCGGGGAATAATCAGTGGGCTTTAACACAATGCACCCATGATTGTAGAGAGCAGCATCTGGAATGGCCGATGAGCGAAGGTTTGGACCGTAGATTTAGCCATTACCTATGATAAGGGACGCCGAGAGTAACATGGGTACAACTAGGTGACTAGTCTGTCTCACAGTCCCTGAACCACATTATTTTCCCCACTGCTAAACTCTCTCTGCAGTGGTAAAGCCCTAAATAAAGCAAGTTTAGATTTCCTCAGGTTCAGGCTGAATCTCTGGTCTCCCTAGGGCTCCTTTTCAATATAAATGGGCTTGTTTGTTACTATCAAAATTATATAGATTCAGAGACTAAGCCTTAGTCTACCAGGTGACAGGCAGTAGCACACACAATCTTGAGAACGTCACAGGCCATAGGGATACTGATGGAATTTCACACAGGTTGTCGCTTCAGTGACTGTCCAGATTGCTTTATAAGTTGTTGCTGAGACGATTAGGGCAGGGAATATTGGAAATTGCACTAAATGAAATTGAATAGATCTCTCGTATTAACTGAAAGGTGAAGTGTCTGAGAGTTTGAGTGTTCTGTGTCTGAGCGAAACCCAACAAACACACACACATCACATATCACCCACACAGAGCACACCACACACACACCCACGTATCAAACACACAGAACACATATCACACACACATTCTCACACACACACACACACACCATGCACATATCACACACGAGAACACAGAGAAACACAAACAGACACACATATATGCAAGGACATCACTGTATAAGTGCAGTAGCACTGCCTGCAAAATAACGGAATTTACCCCAATTCACATCACTTCTGATATCACTAGTGCATGTAATATCCCACACGCCCGATATCGATTTGTCTCATTGGCCATCCCGTGATCGGACGTTCGACTACATCATGCGTCATTTATCGCAACCGCCCCATCTTTGACCCACGTGGATTTCGTAAGCGTGTATGTCTACATCAACAACGTGTAGGCATTATAGGCGGGGACGTGCCACCTCTACCCACCAAAAATCAATGTTGTTATCGGCGCGCCATGTGCTGGTATATATACGTTCTATTTTTAGCACACCTGATCACACCGACCAATCAAAACGCTCACTCTGTCAACCCATTCCGGTTGATGTTATCCTAGCTGGTTTGAGTGTTCCTAAACAGAAACAGGTTTCTCATGGTATGCGCGTCATTTGAACAGCGTTAAAAATGTCAACGTTGCCCCAGACAGCTCAAACATTTCCCCATGTTCGTGACATTGAGGGGGAAGGTTTTTGTACTCAAACGCAGGAGAACTAATAATGACAACAGATTGCTTAAAACCGTGAGGTAAACGAAATCAAGCGACAAAACCATCGAAGTCATGTTAACCCTCTATCAAACGCCTTGATGCGGTTAGAACATTACCTTTAATTTAAATTTTTAAAAACCCATTTTACATGAGGTGCTGTTTTATGCTTTGCTTTAAACTTGAACGATTCTCACGCCTTTCTCATCAGGCACTGACGTGTGGTCTGGCTAAATACACCCTCGTTAATCCAGACAGAACTACAATATCTGGATTAACGAACTCATATTTAAGCAAAAATGAACACGAACTCTATTTTCAGAAAACTTCAGGTGATGCCTTGATCTACAGTTTATCAGTCATGGATTACTCGGAGGATGAGTTTCAACATCGGAATGTTGATTAACTGGATCTTGTGCTTCGTATTTACCAGTATTTAAAAATGCGTCAGACGATTAACGAAGTCGGCCACCCGTTATACGCCAGGTAATTCTCGGGGAATGCATGCAGGAAGTCACGCACATACACTTATGAATATGGGTAGTTTGTTTTGTAATGGTATCTGTGGTTGATAAAATGTTATATGCTAGTTTGTAATTTAGTGGCTGTTGTAGTATTTATTTATTTATTTATTTATTTATTATATATAAATTAATATATATTTTTATATAAGTATATACAAAGTATACCGGGTATATAAATATATTTAATTTTATGTAAAATTTATTCATTTATAAATAAATAAATAAATAAATAAATAAATAAATAAATAAATAAATAAATAAATAAATAAATAAATAAATAAATAAATAAATAAATAAATAAATAAATAAATAAATAAATAAATAAATAAATAAATAAATAAATAAATAAATAAATAAATGCTATCGGCCAGTTTGTAACTTAGTGGTAGTGGTAGTAGTGGGAGTAATAATGGGGTTTGGAGTGGGGAGTACTTACATGTGTAGCACCCCATGTCTTATGTGTTTGTTTGGCCTGTTCTTGCTGTAGGGAATTTTGCAGACTAACGCTTAGTCTCTGAAAAAATATTATTTGACAGAAACAAGCAGCTCAGAATTTGCAACTTCAGACTTGAAAATGCCTCAGATGAGGTCGGAGATTTTAAACATTTGGAATTTCTAGACCTGTATCGTTTGGGGTTGTGACATTACGATATGGGCAAGGCAAAAGGGCAAACACAATGGAAAAAGGACCTGAGGCAGACTGGGAACAGTCGTCCAGCACGAAAAGCAAGGAGGTAGCATTAAACCTAGGGCATTGGAAATGGTGGGCAGTCGTGCCGGGTACTAACGTTATCGCAGGAACAACGGAAGAGGTAGAAACAGTAGCAGCGGTAGGTGTAAACGTAAGAGAGAAGTAAAGGAAGAAGTAGTAACAGTAGCAGCGGTAGGTGTTAACGTAAC